CTGGAGTGAATCCAGACGGTGCAAAGTATTACGGTGGATCCGTTGAAATGGCCGATTATTGTCCATTTTTACAAGAATTCGAATGGAAAATGCCAGAAAAAGAGCACAAAGACTCGAGATGTGAGCTGGAGGGAAATGGAAAAGAAGGCGAGGATATTCTAGAAGTCTATGGAGAGAATTCCAAATGTTTCGAATTTCCAAAACCATGGACAGAGAGAAAGTGTGGGAGGATAAGAGTACTGTCGCATTATATGGCTGGGTGTTATGAGGTACCTTAATTTTTTTTGAATTTTGATTTTTTTTTTTCAGTACCAATGCACAAATGGAACCCTCTATGTTGGCTCCTACAACGCTACAGATATGTACCCCTGCTACGCAGAAAACCAAAAAGTGCATATCAAAAAAGTGGTTGATGGTTGGCTGAGAGAAGGATCTTTAATCTGCCCAAAGTGCTCGGATTACTGTAGCAGCTGTGGACCGCCTATTGTCATTCCAGATTAATATTGGGGATCCAGAATTGGATGAACCATGCTTCGCATTCTCTAAATTCTCAGTTTTTGGGCTCTTTTCGTGTTATCTGGCTATTCTGTACATTCGATTTTGATCTGAAAAATATCGGGTTTTTTTTGTATTCTTCGCCTTTTTTTCTATTTTTTCACTTATTTTTTTCTGTTTACCGGTCATACTGCTTCATGTTTCAAACATTCTCTTTCCAAAAATTATTGTACTTCCGGTGTTATTAAGTTCAAATGAATATTATTATTCTCAATTTATGCAAATTGTTCTGAAAATTTCACAGTAAACCAAACAAAAACAGAGCTTTAATTTTGTAGTTGTCAACATTTTTGTAGCGATTCACTCAAATGAGATAAATCGCTTGAAAGCCAGCCTAGTGCTGAAACTTCTTGAGACACTTTCAGAAGATTCAACTTTGAGGCACTGTAAAAGTGGTCCAGATTTTCTCAATTTGTCTGAAAATTTCTAAGTATACTAAACAAAAATAGAGCTTCAATTTTGTAACTTGTTTGTCAAATTTTAATGAGATGAGATATGCCACTTCTATAAAGCTGGCCACTTTAACAAATAAGCCCTTGCGATGGAGCCATCTTCCAAGAGGTATAACTCGTTTAGATGAATTTTTCCCAAAAAGTTGTCAACTACAAAGCTAAAGCCCCTATTTTTCCAGACGACCTTCTGCATGGACGTCGGAAAAATGTCACTATTGATTTTTCTGAATGTTATTCCCTTTTTGCTATGCTACTATCCTTAAACGCCAATTTCACTCTTAAGATCTCAAAATTGTGAATTCGAGAAGGTGAGTCTAAAAACAGCAGTGGCTCCTAACAAAAGTAATAAAACTGGATCAGTATGCTATACCTTTGTATATTTTCCTACTCTCTCATTTTTACTTACTTTTCTTCTTGTAGAGTCTTCATTTCCTCAAGATGTCCACAACCCTCACCCAGTGGCTCAATGGGAACTGCCTAGTAGTAGGTCACCCTGGTCAATGGCCGAGTGGAGTATGGGATTCTACAACTATGCAGTGTCAAGTAAGTTTTTCTCTGTCTCCCCATTTCTTTATTCACTTCTTAGTCTACATCTTAATTGAATCTTTCTAGTTTTGTAGTCACAATTACTTTATCCAGTCTGCATCTTTCTAGTATTTATTAAGTTGTTCGAAAAGTAATGCGGGTTTTTATTAGCTTTGTTGAAGTGGGGCCATTTTTTTCCTTACCCACATTTTCTATCTTCCACAACTCCAATAGATTTGATTTGTCTTATTTTTATTCTTCGTTCCATGCTCGTCTCTTGAATCCTTCTTCTTGCTGTATCTCGGACTTCTATAAAACATTCAATTAAGTTTTAGAAAAATGACCTCTATGTTCAATGATAGCCAATACGAGATGCTCGCCAACCGCGCTACGGTTCTTAAAAAGGTGTGGGTGCGTCCCAGAAACACCGGGCTTATGAGCTCGGTGGGGATCGCCCCGATGTTGGGGGCCATCGAGGTGCCGGAGATGCGGTAAGCTATTAAGAATAATTTTCCATAAATTTTATACATTTTACAGGCTCAGGGATGCCCGAATGTCAAACGGAGCCAGTGTGTTGAGTCACTGGAGAGCCAACAACCCAACGGTGGTGGTGAACCCGGACCAGTTCATGGTCCGGGAGTTGAGCAGTGGGGTTCTCATACCGGTGCAGTTTTTGAAGATCGTCCAGCTACCTCGGTAAGTCAGATTAAAACTATAATATAATTCTTAATAATTTACAGCGAAATCATCGCCACGCTGGAGCAAGCGAGGAACGAGAGACGCCGCCACCGCTAGGAGGTAAACATATTAGGGAAAACCTATTTTTCTGTAACAAGTCATTCATTTTAGAACTGCACCTTTTTTCTTTTTAATAAATATTTATTAACTTGAATCCTGTTTTATATTCTTTCAGACAAAACTAGTTGTGAATTATTTCTTTTATGAAGAAAAAAACCTTTTTTGGATTTTTAGTGCGCGAGAACATACAGCACCGCGCGATCCCATAAAACGTTCCTCGCGATCCACCTGTGCTCTCACAATTCCATCAAATAGAGATCCGGACTCGATGAATCTTTTGATAACTACAAAAAACCACATGTTTGCAATCCCAATGCGTTTAATGATCTCGTTTCGACTAACGCCCTATAAAGACTGATGACTGTCGCATGGTGGACGTTTGGTCTCACCGTCTACCTGAAACTCAACCAATACATCTGAAACTTGACAGGAATACTAATTATGAATCAATAAATCAAACTACAAAATTCGATTTGCAGATTGCACACCACCACCGAGAACCATCGCACCAAAATTTTGTGCCGCTAATTAAAAGCCACCCTGTACCGTCCCACACAAAAGGCAAATGTTTCGAAAACAACAAATCTTTCCCCAAGAAGTAAAATAAACGAAATTTAGTCCCAGACTTATAAAACCTAGCATTTATCTGTCTATATGCGTTTCTGTGACTCCAGATGTCCTACTTCCACCTTTCCTCATTCTTCGTTGACGTGAAATTAAGCATTTCTCCAAATCGACAAACCTCGCAACCAGTCATTTCCATCATTCCCCCATCCAAATTTTAAAATCAAAGTGGAATCTTGATTTGAAAAAAGTTAGACACTTCTCCTCACCGCAGAACACAGAATATGGCTGGAAATTCAAGAAAAAGCTCGAGAACAAAAGCAAAAAAGAAGAACAGTAAACATGTGAGTACGCGCACTTTGAGCTTAATTACCTCGCTTCCTATAAAAGATGGCAAAATTTTGTAAATAAAATTATTATCATAATGTTATCAATATTTTATCAGTTGACTACTTTTTGATATCTTTCTCGGGAAAGGAGATAAACTAGCTCAAACTTAACAATGTGTCTGTCTGTGTGTCCAAAAGTCCTACTTTTAGACTCGTAGCTCCAAAAACAAGCGACGAAGTGTGAAACGATCGGGAACAAAATCCAGGACTCGAAATCGGACGAAAACCCAGACTACATCAAAAAGCCATACAGTAACCCCGGAGAAATCGGATGAGAGGAAGAGAAAAGAGAAGGGGAGAGCCAATGAATTCAAGGAGAAGGAGCCAGATTCAGAGGGAAGAAAAACTGAGGAACGAGGAGGAACCGAGAGTATATCGAAGAGTAAAGGAAATCAAGTGGTTCAATCTAGTCAAATTGAGCAGACGAAGAAGATCGAGGTTAAGAATATTGAGCCAGATGCGGAGCAAGTAAAACGGATGTTGAAGAAGGTGAAGAGAGATAAGCCTAGAA